TTCTTAATGCCTGATGATAGTTGCTCTGTTGCCCACATTAGTTGAACAATGACACTTGCTCTTCTACCCCTTTTCCTGACTCTTTAGAACCCATTTCTGTAATTTCCACTCTTCTAACAGAATGAAAATATTGGCGGATACCAGAATATGAAACCAAATCTTTCTTGATCAAGTAGTGAGGTAGAGTGCTAACGTCATGGTTGAGGTGATTTGTTTCCCGATGGTGACAGTGCAGTCTCATGAGCTGAGGTGATAACGTTACGCTAATCCCCATGGCGAGACATTTGTCACAGGGCAAGGGTAGCGTGGCTCCAGGGTCCCTACAGGAAGATGAATCTGAGCTCAGCGTAGAGAAGCGACTCTTCTGCCTTCTCTGCTTCTCTCTGCAGAACAAAAGGATGCCCAGCAACTGGGTGCAAACAGAAAACAGCAGGATTCTTTAAACCTGCCGTGCAGTTTTTATATCTAGGCAGTGGCTCTCTGGCATTTGGTGCTAACTGAACAGAAAGCTCTAATGCTGTGTTGTCTGGCTTATTCCCTGAAGGGATTTCCGGAATCCTTTCAAAATCTATCCACCCCCTGCAAAGACATGTGCGATTGCGTGTTATTTCTCGTACAACTACTAATCGTGTAAAATAAAACTCTGCAGATTCTGGTAATAAGAAACATAACTTTATAAAAGTAAACCAGGGTTGGTATGCATTTTAGATGTTTCCAGGTTCTGTTGAAACCAAGTTTATCTTTTCTGTGGAAATACTGGAGTGGGGAACCACCACCAAAACCCACGCAGTTTGGCGGGGGGGTGGGGTGGGTGGTGTTAAGGAAACCTGTCTGCCTCCCCTCGGCTGTAACTGGCTGATCTTTTAAGCTTGTCAGAGGGCTGCTGTTCATGAATTGTAAAATGCAGTCTGTGCTATTGGTCTGCTCCTTAATCAGCCATATGCAGTGAGCTGCAATCCCTGCATGTGTTCGGCAGTGCTGTTTTGGCACAGTCTAACTGAAGTGAATTCTCTTCCCCATTGAAATATCACTAAGTTTGGAGAAAGATGCTTGAATTTTATGAAGAACTGTGGAATAGAATTAAATTTTTAACACTGGGCTTGGAACATGAACTGAATTGTCAGCAAGAGACTACTGAAGTTGAAGCAAGGGCCACAAAGATGATTAAGGGACTGGAGCATCTGTCATATGAGGAGAGGTTGCAAAAGCTGGGACTGTTCACCCTGAAGCAGGGAAGGTTCAGGAGGGTATAATCAATGTATATAAATACCTCATGGGGGGGAATGAAGAAGCAGCAGCCAGACTCTTGTGAGTGGTGCCTGCTGACTGAGAAAGTGAAATGCATGAAACTTCATTTGAATGCAAAAAACCACTTTATTTATTTTTTTTTTACTGTTAGGGTGGTCAAAGACTGGAGCAGGTTGCCCAGAGGGGTTGTGACGTCTCCTTTTGTGGAGATGCTAAAAAAAATAGCTGGACATGGTCTTGGGCAACCTGCTCCAGCTGACCCTGCTTAAGCAGGGAGGTTGGGTCAGAAGCTCCCAGGAGAGGGAAGTCCTGTCCAACTTAAATGGTTCTGCAAAAGTGTTATTTTGTTCTCAACACTATATTAATTTAGTAGTTACATAGATTGACTTCAGTTGTCTCAATACGTGAGAAGTTATACTGTGCTCTTTGTTACCATATGAATATGAAGCATATCTAAATAATTTGCCTTTTTTTTTTTTTTTTTCCCTCTCCTATCTAGGTTCTGGGGACGCCTACAAGGGAGCAAATTAGAGAAATGAATCCAAACTATACTGAATTCAAATTCCCTCAGATTAAGGCACATCCATGGACTAAGGTGAGTCTGTATGAACTGAATAATAAGGACATGTGGGCTGAAAGTAAAAATTCCAGGAGTTCAGTTTGTTCAGTGGCTTGGTGGCTTTCAATCTAAACTGAGTGCCTTTACCTAAGCTGGGGACCTGGTAACTTTCGATGTAGATAAGGAGAAGGAAGTATTGAAGCACTACACTGTAGTATCTGTTGGTCTGGGATTTTTTGAGGTTGTCTACAGGTGTGGGGTTTTTTGTAACAATGGTGTGTGTGTTTATAGCAAATTGCAATATATCTAATTCCTGTCACACTATAAATTGATAGGGACAAAAGTCACCTACAAATGAGGAAGTGTTCCAGTGATACATGTATTTGTACTCCTATAGATGTGCTGTTGATTGGGATTGATTTTTCTTGGAGTTACTTCTTTAGACTTCTTGTTACCCAGCTTTCACAAAGTCACACTATTGCAGTACATACAGACAGTATCATAACTTCTATGATCAAAGAGGAGACTGCTAGCATTGAAACAAATAAGTTGCCACACAATTAAGCTGTCTTCCACATGTCAAGGAATGATGAATATTTGACTTGGGACCGGATAACAGTAATTTAATTAGCATCTTAGGTGTGGAAGAAGTTAAATAGTGAGTCTTAAGCAACTGAAGCCTGGGTAGTTTACGTTTTCTTTTTGCTGCTTGAGAAAGATCTGATATAGTTGCATTATATTCTCATCATATCTTAATTGTTCCGGTTTCCTTCTGCTAAGAAAATACTGTGTATGCGTGGAAGGGTTGCATTCCTAGCTGAGCACATGTCCAGGTCAGACACTTTTGGACCAAATGCTCTGTGGTGGTAGAAACTCTGGACAAACTAATTCAAGCTCATTGGTAGCAGGCCATGCACCTGATAGGTACATGCCAGGACAGGATCTGCGAGTCACTATTTTTGTGATAGATTCTCCACTGAGTTATGCACCGCTTTAGTTCCATTCCCATATCATAATTTCTTTCTGTGTGTTGGTTAAGTGATTTAGAATAGTATAAGAAGTCGGTAAATCCAGTGAAGCTTTTAAATACCTCACGTTAACAGGGGGGAAAAAATGAGGACAAATTAAATCCCTGGGCGTTGGTCTCTTCAGTTTTGAATTGCATCAAAGTCACAAGAATAAGTCCAAAAGCTTTATAGCACTGAATATCAGGGCTGTATCGAATTCCTGCTGTGAGGGTGTTTGTATGACAGGTGGTTAAATTAAGTTAAGCATCTAAGCTAGCTATGCAGCTTATCTTCTGTCTGAATAGCTTTAAGAATCATCTGTATGCAATTGATGATCTGTTGAGACCACAACAGAGATCTTTTGGCAAATGGAAAACACTTCAAGAGAAAAACTGAGACTTCCTTCTATGTATATGAATGATTTTTTTGGTCATTCTAAAGGATCACAAGTGAAACCACGTCAATTATAAAGAATTGAGAAGAGCTTGGCAGAAGAACAAATCTGTGTTTTCCATTAGGGCACAATTAGTTTGGGAGAACTGTGCTTGCAACGCAGCTTCTTATTCTCCAGTTGTTCTACACACAGCTCTTTCTGACATGAGCTGAGTGTAGAACAGCATTTAAACCCGTTTATTACAATTGGGGTATACGATCCTTCATTTATGAAATTTGTGCTTTTCTTAGTATACAAATGCTAAATTAACAAAATGGATTATCTGGCACGGTGCTGGTAACGATGCTTATCTTCTCAATGTGCTACTTCTAAAGATACTTTATTTTCAACACTTTGAGCATGTTGAGCCATGAAAGTTTTAAGTGGTGGCAATATGGAGAATTGGTCTTCCTTACCCAGCTGTACTGGGGTAACATCTGATGGCATGGCAGTGGGCACACATCCTCTTGGAGCTTCTTAGAATTGAAACGTGTGGAAGGAAAAGCACTTCTGAACTCTGGCTGTCTAATGAGCAGAAAAGGAATGACCTAAGAGGTGAAAGTGCAGGTGTTTTTTTGTTATAACTGGGTATGTAATGTAACTAGAGCACTACAGGTAGTTATTAGCAGGACTTGAACTTTAAAAGTTTCAGCCTCAAAAGCACAAAACTTTGACATCTAAGAAAAAGAATTACTGAAGATTACTGTAGTTATATGGTTATTTTTGTGGACTAGTGTCCTGGTTTGAGGTAGAACAGAACCAAGTTTCTTTTCAGTAATTTTACTTTTCAGCTAAGTCTCTTCTAACTAACTGCACTTTCTGAAATTAGCAGTATATTCTTCAGACAGTGTTTGCTTCCAGCCCGGTGTTTATAGTGAATATCAAGGAATGTTATGCAGAGAGGCTCCTGCTTATTATTGCTATAATAACCAAGGTCAGCTAATTTTGTGTGCCCCGTTGGAGGGTTGGAAGCAGAAGAGCATAGCAGAGTGGAACCTGTGGGGAGGAGCAGACAGGACGGGTGACTTAAAACTGACCAACAGGGTATTCCATCCCATCTGCATCATGATCCTCACTATGAAAGCTTGAGGGATCAAAGGGGTCAGCCTTTTTCTTCAATGGCCGACATCCAAGGAGGACTCTGTTCGTCTGCCTTATGATCCCAATCTGTGTGCTCCTGAATCCAGATCCAGAATTCAGATTCCGTCTGTCGCTGAGTCTAGTCTGGGACCAGTGTCTGCCAGAGATGTGATCATCCTCCTGGGAGCTTGATACTGCTTTTGTATCTATTGTATATATTTCATTATATTTATATATATATTATTATATTTTTATTATTAATATTTCATTAAAGTGGTTCTAGTTTTCATTTCAACCTGTAAGTCTCTCCCTTCTTTTCTGGGAAGGGAGAGAGAGAGGTACAGAGAGCATCTGTGGTTTGTTTAGTGGCCAGCCCAGCCCAAGCCATGACAACTAGTTATGATCAGAGGACGCAGCAGACAGAAGTTCAGGGGGTTTTGTGTGGAGGAATTTTCAGACACCTAGTTTTCAGCATCTTTGAGAGAGAATTGCTGAGAATGTATTCACTCTCTGCTGTAAGTTGTTTGACACAAGGGCATTCTCCTTGTTGCTTTGTGGTATTTAATACAACATGGTTTTTTTAAAAGTTGAGGGGGTTGTAGGTTCTACTTGGAGGTAGTTTCATGCAGTCGACATGCCCAGTGAAGGTGCATGTTTAGCTACTGTCTAGATGTTTAACCTCTTCTATGCAATCTGGAACTGGTTGTATTCAGGCCAATAACCTATAAAAAAGTAAGGTCCATAGTGCCTATAGGTTGCATCTGAGATTCTGTGGTATGGACTTCTGTCAGATATACCTGATGTTCTGGTCTGCTCTCTAGGTATTTCTGTTAGGCATATAGTTACGTTATTTTCCTTCTCAGTATTGCTATGGTGGTGTAATCGGCTGTATTTGCTGTTGCCTACTAGGTGAACAAGAGTGGTGTTTGGTGCTATAGTAAAATGAAAGAGGTTTGGGTTTTTTTTAAAGAACCAGGGAAATTGTTTGAGACTGAATAAGGATGAGTCCATGAAGGAATGTTGTTTCTCGGATTCATTCAATTTCAGGCTTAAATGGGCATTTTGAGTACAAGTTTTATGGAAATTTGAAATCTACTACAATAGCTGTATCTTAGGCTTTTCAGTAAAAATGAATTAGTATCATTTAAATACAGTATTGATATTCAATATGATGGAGTAGTATGAAGAAAGATAATCTCAAATTAGCAAATCTGTCTTCTCAGATTAGGAGAGCATTCAAACTAACACTCTAAAAAATACTTTGCTGTGCTGCAGCAATAGTGTGAGTTTACAGAGCAAACTGTTCTCAGACTGGTTTTCAATCTGTTGACAATTTGAGATTGAAGTACTTTTGTAATTGAAGAGCCAGAATCTCTCTGTATAAAACATACAAAGGCCCCCCCTCTCCCCAGTACAGTTTTGTGTTGTCCAAGCACATGCATGTTTTTCTACCAGTTATGTGCACGGTGCAGATGATGATGGGAGTTCAGTGTGTCCCTGGCTAGCCAAATAAAAGAGGACCTGAACTTTCCAGGCATCTTTAAAACCTTTCTTCTAAAACAGGTTTTCCACTTTTCTTCCCACCTGTCTCCTCCTCCCCCAAGGAGGAATTGGGGACGTTTTGGTTCTTTTGGGGAGGTTCCTCTTCAGAATACAGGAGTGTTTAATTTAGGGAGGTTTGGATGAAAAGAACATCTACATGACTTTGTTTTCACATTGTATTCATGGAAGTGCATGCCTTGGTCTGTGAGTAAGTAGCTTTAAGTTATAAGAGAAGCAAGGTTTTGCAGGGGTAGGAATATCTTTGACTGATACAGTCTGAAAAAAATGGGCACACTCTTAGACACGCAATTATACCTTCAGGTTATCTTGGGTCAGAAAACTTGTCAATTTTTTCCAGCTTTATCAGCTGACTGAATGAAAGTTACTGCCCTTTCTGGAGGCTTAACTGCTGTTGTTTTTATTAGGTCAGAACTTTCCTTCTGCCTTTCAGCCACCTTAAGTCCTTGAACCTTCTTACTTCTTGGAAGTGCAGCCTGATTTCTGCTACTAATCTTTAAATTTGTTTCTCTTTTTCTGACTAAGCATCTATATTTTACAACTGTGTGACTGGAAAGCCAAAAAGAAAATCAGAGATCAAATGCAAGCCTGTACATCACAAGGCTGTTGAACTTCAGCTTTGGTCACTAGCTTTCTCTGAAGCTTTCAGCCCTTTTGGAGGGGGATGGAGCAGTGGGGTGGCTGACAGAAGGTCTAAATGCATGCTTCATAAGCTTTTGTGTTAGATAGGAGTTACTTACCATGTCCCCATTACAGCTGGCCTTTATCATAGCATTACTCAGATGCTATCTTCAGATCTCAGATCCTTTGGGTTATGAAAAACAAAGACCATGCTGTGTTTACTTCCAGAAATATGAAAAATGTCCATCTGCGACGGCCTGCCTTTCCCCTTGTATCCAGCTAGTAAAGGATCTTATTTGAGTAAGACTGTAATAAATGTAATACAATTATGTGCT